AAAAAAAAAAAAAAAAAAGGAGCTAGAAAATATGCAGACATGGAAAGAAACAAATCTAGCATCTCAAATCTTAGCATAATAGAACTGAAAGGGATTTTTAAATTACCTTTATTGGTGATAAAACTGGGTCCAACTCATATATTTGAAGCCACTTACAAAGGCTTTCACATGGATTATCTCATTTGATGTTCAAGAGGTCCCTGTGAGATAAGCAAGGCAGGCTTCATTGTACCCATTTTACAGACGAGCAGTCTCAGGCTCAGAGAGAAGAAATGAGTTGGCTGAGCTAGTTAGCTATACAGTTAGGATATGGAAGCTAGTTTTTCTGACTCTCCAAGTCACGTCTCTACAACACCCTGCTTCGTCCGAATGGAAAACCTTTGCTTATATTACCACACAATTGAATGAGTTTCCACTTAATTTTGTGTTACACTTGAGGCACTGATGTGGGGCTCCTCCGGGCAGACACGTGCTTATCAGAGCCAAACCAGGTGACTTGGACTCTGCAAGTTCTTTTCCAGGTCCTGATGTCCTTTGAGGTGTGTGTGTGAGGAGTAAATAGTCTGACGTCTCAGAATATTCTTGACCTTTGAGTTGTGTAGTGTTTCCAGTTGGCTACAAGGAACCTTCCTACTCTTCTTCTGCCCTCATTCCTTACCCTCATGGAGGTCCGGCATTGCATGGCAGGCTTTCTGTACCTTTCTTATTTCAACTTAGACTTCTCAAATCTTCAATGACCTTCTCTCCCCACCCCTAAATACACCTGGCAGACTTTAGAGGGCAGATTGAAAATGTGACACTAAGTTTGTTATTCCTAGCAGAAAGCTCAGAGAACATTTATTTTTAGAATCAGTTAAAATGCATGCTTGTTGTCACAGAAAACTCTGGCTATCTTAGCAAGAGCAGTTCAATGAGGAAGACCAGGTGATTTTGGTATCATTGGTTTAAGGGGATATAAAAGAGGATAAAGACTGGGTTTGTATCCCAGCCCACTGATGGGCTGTGTGACCTGGGATAAATCATATAACCTATAACCCAACTAAAAACAAACCTGTTGCCATCGTGTCGACTCCAACTCATACCCACCCTGTAGGACGGAGTAGAACTGCCCCACAGGGTTTCCAAGGCTGTAATCTTTACAGAAGCAGACTGCCACATCTTTCTCCTATGGAGCCACTGGTAGGTTTGAACTGCCAACCTTTTGGTTAGCAGCCAGGCACATTAACCACCAGGCCACCAGGGCTTCTTAACCTATAACAGCTTTTGTGTTTTTTATCAGAATAATATGAATAAAAATATTAATAATTTCAGATTAAAGAGTTGTTTATAAGAATCAAGTGATAAAAATGCTTATGAAAGCAAGAAACCCAATGAAAACATTAGACATTATTTCCATTACTCTGATTATCTGTGTACAGCCCTGTATCTGGGTGTCTGGCTCCCTAGTGATGACTCCAAAACTGTCTTTCAACCAAATTTCTAGAAGTATACGTATGTGTCTACAAATGAGGCAAATAAGTTTCATATAGCAGAAACCCAAAATGATATCAGTATTACATAGAGTGTGGATTAGAAAATGAACCTGAAGTTTTAAAATAAGGAGTTAAATATGATCTATAATTGGATTTACTGGAATATAATTGATAAGTTGAAATGAAACAGTATACTTAATTCAAATGGAAGATAGGAGGCAGGAGACTAGCACTCTCTAATGAGAAGGTTTAGACATACTGGAAGTCTATAGACCTGATGCCACCACCCATCTGTCAGTTTGTCATACTGTGGTGGCTTGCGTGTTGCTGTGATGCTGGAAGCTATGCCACCAGTATGTCAAATATCAGCAAGGTGACCCTTGGTGGACAGGTTTCAGCAGAGTTTCCAAACTGAGACAGAATAGAAAGAATGGCCTGGTGAGCTACTTCTGAAAGTTAGCCAGTGAAAACCTTATGGATCACAACAGAACGTTGTCCAACTTGCTTGCTTTGGGCACGTCATCAGGAGGGATCAGTCACTGAGGAAGACATGATGTCTGGTGAAGTAAAGGGCCAGTGCGGGTGAGGGAGACCCTCGGTGAGATGGATTGGCACAATAACCTCAGCGACGAACTCTGACATTCCCGCAATTGTGAGGATGACACAAGACCAGGCAGTGTTTCGTTCTGTTGTATGTAAGGTCGCCATGAGTTGGAGTCGACTCAACAGCAGCCATCTATCTACCTATCTATCTAGACCCAATAATGAATGTGTATAATGGTATTTTGGATGAGAGAGAAACAGAACTGATGTAAATGTGAGATCTGCATCCAGCCTCCCATCAGGCAGAGACTGCTGGTGATGCATTCATAATGGAGATTACCGAGCTCGCCCAGATGGAAGATGGCAACTCTGGGGACATCTGTTGTCTCACTCCACCAAAGCAGAGCTATATTCCATTCTCGAGTTCTCTAGTTAATTTATTCTCACAGGAGGTGGAGGAAGCAGTGAAAGGGAACAGTTACTCAGGACCTAATTGCAACTGAAAATCGTTGGTTGGTGAAATGAAAATGATGAATTCATTCAATAAATATTTATTGAATACTCACTACATGCTATACTCTTGTCAGGACAGTCACAATACAGCAGATAACGCACAATACATATCTCCACCCTCGTAAAGCTTGCAGTTTAACAAGGGAGAGAGACAAAACAAATAATGATGGCAACTTAGAAGAATACGAATATTTTCTTAATCAGTACTGTTTGATGATAAGTAGCATAAAACCAAGGAGTCCTGGTGGCACAGGGCTAACCAAAAGGTTGGTGGTTCAAACCCACCAGCGGCTCTGCAGAGGAAAGATATGGTAGCCCGCTTCCATAAAGATTACAGCCTCGGAAATGCTATGGGGCACGTCTGTCCTATAGGATCACTGTGAATCGGAATCAACTCAACGGCAATGGGTATGGTTTTTGGTTTTAATATAAAACAACTCAAACGTTTACTTAAGCAAAAGCCAGTCCTCATTAAGAGACTGGAGCCAAGAACTGCAGACCCATCAGAAACAAGGGTAGCTTCTCTCTCGTCATGTCTGGTTCTCTCTGGGTTTACATGTTCTCTTATCACTGCTCTTGGCATAGCCACTTCATTCTTCTCTCCTTTTAACAAGCTAGTTTTCTCTCCTTCTCCAAGGACATGCTAAGAGACAGGCCACAAGCAGCCCTAGGTATCTTCTCAGTTCAGGCATCTAACTAAGACAAATTGTTGTTGTTGTTGTTGGGTGACATCAAGGCAGTTCCAATTCATAGCAACCCTGTAGGACAGACTAGAACTTCCCCATAGAGTTTTCAAGGAGCAGCTGGTGGATTTGAGCTGCCAGCCTTTTGGTTAGCGGCCAAGCTCTTAACCACTATGCCACCAGGGCACCATGACAGATTAGTGTCCCCATATCTTGAGAAAAAGAGAAAAGGAGAAAAATGATACAGCTTGAGCCAGGCAACCACCTCTGGCCCAGTCACCTAAGGTCAAGGGCACCTGGTTACTTACCAGGCCCTTTAGGGGCAGAGTCTTTGAGAAGGAAGCCTGAGCAAATTCTCTAAGAAGAGATTCAGTATGGAGTGAAAACAATGGTTATTGCTGCTCCATGCCAAATCGTCTTAGATGACTAATGAAGGCCATGGTAGCCATCACCAACCACATAACCTAGATTTAAAGAGAGTAGATTTCAGAAAGTTCAGAAATTCATGGACAGATAACATAAAGGGAGAGAAAGCTGAATGTTGGACAAGCTAGAATTCCTAGAAGTCCATTGACTAAAATCAATAAAATAAAATTTTAAAGAAATTGGTGTCAACAGTAGCACCTGTATTATCTTTAAAAATATCAATTTCACAGGTACAAGATGAGAAGAAACTGATATAATGGAAGTTTGTGTTTCATTTTGTTTTGTTTTTTTAAAAATAAAAAGCACCTGGAGGTTTTAGTTTACAAGAAGCTCAATATCAACCTTTATTGTGATGGAGTTACTAAAACAGCTAGTGCAATCTCTTTGTCCACAGTAGTAAAAGGCCAGAGAATCAGAAGCTAATAGTCCCACCATATGCTGCACCAATCAGATTATGTATCTAGAGGACGCTGGGTCCATTCTTAGCACCATAGTTTAGGATGAAAATTGACAAATTTGAGATATTTGAAAGTTGGTGACTGGAATGTTGAAGGGAATGAAAACCATGTCATATGAGGAACAAAGTAAAGACGAGAAAAATCTGATACCACTTTTCAAATATTCAGGGTATCATCTGTCATAATAGAAAGCATCCTTGAACCAATAGGTAAAATTACAGGGAGGTATAATTTGGCTTATTTATTTTAAATCTTGTTAAAAAACAAACACAAAAAAATCAGTTTCCGTTACATTTATCTGGAAAGGGAATAGGCTGTTCTAAGATAGTACCTGTTCCCTAAGGAGAGGAACCTATTCACGTGTCATTCTGGCATCAGGTGGACTCTGGTTTTAGAATTATTCTTCTAAAAAATTTTTTTTATTGTGGTAAATATGTAATTATTTATCTTTTCAACATTCTTCACATGTACAATTCAGTAATTTATATTTTCATGTTGTTCAACCATTAACATTATTCGTTTCTAAATTTTTCCATCACCCTTAACAAAAGTTCAGTGTTCCATAAGCACTGAGTTCGCTGTTTCTCCTCCCTTCCTCGCTCCCACCCCTGGTAACCAGACGCATAACTAAGGCATGGCAGGTAGGGCATGTGCCCTGGGCACTGCTTGAGGAGGGGCGCTAATGAGCAGTTTCTATTGGCGATCGAAGTTTCCATTGCCAGCCATGAGAGATCATTCAGCAACTTAAAACTAATTGCCATAGCCACTGTTTCTCATAGATAGGCCCCTGCTAGTAACCACTAATAGACTTTGGTCTCTATACACTTGTGTATCCTAGATATAACATATAAGTGAGATCATGCAATATTTGTTCCTTTGTGGCTGACATTTCATTCAGCATAACATTTCGAGCTTCATCCATGTTGTAGCATGTATCAGATCTTCATTTCTCTTTATGGCTAAGTAATATTCCATTGTATATATTACCACATTTTATTTAGATTTACGATATAGAATTATTCTTTATTCAAGTTAGGAAAGCCTTCCTCAATTGGTCTTGGAATTAGGTACAGTACAAATAATTTATTCACAAGGAAACAGAAATATGTAGAAATGGCATAAAGTCAGTATAATTTTTAGGCCTTTTCTCCCTCACGATTACTCCCAGGAAAGGTACTGGGATAAAGAGTCTTAGATCTGTGCTCTCGTCAACCTTCTCTTCAGCTGCACTCCTTGGTAAGTCGGAAACAGGAGCTAGTGGCTGCCAGCTGTTCTTTTGAAGAATTAGCTTTGTCTGTACTCCAACCTTCTAGGCAAGTGGATAATTGTACATGTTATGCAATGTTAGATACCACCCTGTGTCAAACACTTCACCACCTACCAGCCCCTGATGACGTTTCATCCTTAGCAGTTTCTTTACATCCAGATGCTGTTTCTTGAGGCTGCTCTTAAAATTAATGTACCATTGGAGAGATTATACATTAACCTTTATGCACTTTCTCACCAACTACTCAGTCAACCATTCAAGAAATATGAATTAAGCTCCAAGGGTGTGCTAAGTGCTGTGCTGGACATGGAAGGTACAAATGCCTGTCTGAGTTAGACCGTGAAAGGCTGAACAGGGGCAGCAAGGGCTGTTGGGAAAATCCCAAACATGAGACACTAGCCAAGGAGTAAAGACGAACGAATAGCAGAGCAGTGGGCACACTGAGCAAAGCTGTAGATGAGGAGCAAGGTTTGAAAGGAACTCTCAGGCTGGAGCTCATTTACATCCTTCATTGTGGTTATTTTATTTTAACAAGATTGCACTCATTGGTGACTCAGTGGTTAAGCGTTCAGCTGCTAACCAAAACGTCAGCAGTTTGAATCCACCAGCCGCTCCTTGGAAACCCTATGGGGCAGTTCTACTCTGTCCTGTAGGGTCACTATGAGTCGAAATCGACTTGACGGCAACAGGTTTGGTATTCTTAAAGTGAGATTTTGCTTCGCTTGTATTTTTCAGAGACCTGAAGTTAGATAATATCCTGTTAGACAAAGACGGACATATCAAAATAGCAGACTTCGGAATGTGCAAGGAGAACATGTTAGGAGATGCAAGGACAAACACTTTCTGCGGAACTCCTGACTACATCGCCCCAGAGGTACGGTTACACTGCCGGGAAGGCCTGCAACTGGCCCCTTCCCCACCTCAGCTCAACCCTGAACCAAGCACTACTGTTTCTTCCTCCTTTTAAAATAGGAAGATTTTAAGTATTTTGGCTCAGAATTTATATTTATTTTTCTGAGTATTTCATAAATCCAGTCCCACATGTGTGTTGTCCTTATTACTTTATGGAGGTTGGTACTCACACGAATTACATCTCTCCAAGGCTTAACTAGTTCAGCATTTCCTTTCAGTCATGACTTTGCCCAACCCCAGCCTGAAAATCAACCAGAAGTTAAAACTGGTGAAGAACCAGGTGGAAACTGGATACTCTCATAAGTACCCACCTGAGTAAGTGAAGTGGCTTAATTTTAGGTTCAGAAAACCTGAACTAAAGATTTCAAGCTTCCCCTGCGTGAACATAGACAGATGGCCAAAGTCTCACTGAGCCACGCTTTTCTCTTCTGTAAAATGGGGAGAATACTTACCTAACAATGTTATTGCAAGCATTTACTGAGATAATATATGACACCTAAGCATTGCCCCCACCCCCACCAAAAACATAAAATAAGGCATCACTGTTTTTATTCTGAGCAGCCAGAAGAACAGCATTTGTTCAGAAGGCATCCATCAATCCAACTAAACCCACATACTGCCTTTTTTATGGAATCCTCCTCCAACTGCCCACCGCAGGAAGATTAGACACTCCTCTAACAGTTAGTCCTGCTCATACCATAACAATTATCTTAATTGCTTCTTTATCTTTAAATCTCCCTGCACTACTTGATAAGGAGTCCCTGGCTGTTGAAAACTATTAAGTGCTAGACAACTAGCCAAGGGTTGGCAGTTCAAATCCACCCAGAGGCATCTCAGAAGACAGGCCTAGCAATCTGCTTCTGAAAGTTCACAGCCTTGAAAACCCTATGGAGCAGTTCTACTTTGTACACATGGGGTCGCCATAAGTCAGAATTCAGGAGCAACTAACAACAACAGCAGCATTACTTGATGATAGCTTTAAAGTCAGGGACTGTTTCTTGCTTTTTTTTATTTTTTAACTTAGTGTCTTGAAATAATTATAGATTGATAGGAATTTGGAAATATAATACAGAAGCTTCCCATATCTACCCTTCACCCAGTTCCCCCCAGTGATTACTTGTTATGTGACTATGGTACAATATCAAAACCAGGAAATCGACATTAATGCAAGGTGTCTGTATAGTTCTTTGCCATTCTGTTGCATGTGTAGAATTACATATCTTACTCGCTTTTAGATCCAAGGACTTAGTGAAGACTTGGTACATTGAGATGCTAATAAATACCTTTTGAATGAATGAATGAATGACAGTTGTTTGATAAAAACAATGATAGACTTCTGATTTCCTGGGTAAAACAAACTTAGCAGCAAATCCCTATCATTACCAAAGTAATTGTGGTAGGCCAAGTCTAAGAAATATGCAGCTTTGCCCTGTAATTATGTGGTATTTAATTTTTATTTAACCTTGTTTAAATGCAAGGTTGGCGTCTGTTCAGCAAGAAATTGTGGCTTTTAACTTTCAAGGAATTGTTGAGCTCACAGAGCTCGGCTCATTGATTTAATAACTTGGTGATATTAGAAATCTATGCTTTATTCAGGTTAGCATAAATACAGGTATTGATGCATTAAAACCATTTCCAGTCTGAAGTGCAGCCAAAGCTAATTAAGATACAAATGAAGAAGACCTCAGAGAGGAAACTCAATCCAACTATTGAATTCCCCTTAGTAAAAATTCTAAAATATATTCACTGTGCTCAGACCACCATCCCTGCCCTTCTCAACAGCTGTGACCTCATGTGAGCTACCTCAGTTCCTTTCCTCTCCACCTTGAAATGTCTCGGTATGTTTACCTTGCGCTCCTCATTCATTGCTGTCTACAAATGCCTGATGCCGTATCCTTTCTTGGCAAGCCTTTCTTCCTGATTCTGCCTCCTCCAGAATTTAGCTTCAGCAACTTGCTTTTCTATCTGCAACCTCAGTCTCTTTTTCGTCAAGCGTGCTTTTCTCATGTGATTCCATTCTTAGGCCTCTGTTCTTTCTGTACGTTCTCCAGAAGCAACTTGGCTATGGATTTAACTGCCACCTACATAACTCCAAAATCAATATGCCCAGCCTGAACTTCTTCCTCTTGCATCAAACCCATATGTGCATTTTTCTACTTGAGATCTTCAACTAGATTCCACAGGCCCTTCAAACATAATATGTCCAAAACTCATTTTCCTTGTGGAACTTGCCTCCCCTCCTTTTCCTGTTTTCTTGGTGAATTAAAATTCCATCCATCCAGTTGCCTCACCAGAAAACTAGGAATTATTCAAGTTTTCTCCTTATTTCTTACTCTCAAATTCAACCAAACACCAAGACTTTAAATATTTAGATCTCAGGAACCTCTCATGTCTATTCTGTCCCCCAGTCTTGTGATGAATTAAGAATCTCCCTTGATTCCTTTCTGCCTTCAAAATGCATCCCTTTGATTTAATCCCCAAACAATGTCAAATTCTTCCCTATTCTCCATGCTGCTGCCTTAATCTAGGCCCTCAGTTATCTTTTGTCCTGGACCCTTGTGACACCCTTCTACCTGGCTTTCCTCTCCATCACCAACCATCTTCCAATACGTCCTTTTCACACATTCACAAACTTTTTGATCATGTTATTCTGAGCAGCCAGAAGAACAGTATTTGTTCAGAAGGCATCCATCTCCAATAGATGTATATTTATTTATGTATGAATCATAGACATTAATCCATTGGCACCAAGTCAATTCAAACTCACAGTGACCCTATAGGACAGAGTAGAACTGCCCCATAGGGTTTCCAAGGAGCGGCTGGTGGATTCGAACTGCTGACCTTTTGGTTAGCAGCTGAGCTCTTAACTACTGCATCACCAACAACCAGTGTAGTCTGTGTGTTATAAAACATACACAGAAATAAATATAATCAGATTGAGTTTAAGATGAAATAAACAATAGTTTTAAATAGCTAAATTTTATTATATTTACCAATAGCACAAAAACATGCTGTCATTAAAATCAGATTAAACAGTCTTTAAATCTTGGTTTAATACTTTATGCTTCTGTGATTCAAAGTTCTGATAAGTTTAGTTTATTTCAGTTCTTGGTTTTAATGGTTATCATAGCTGGAAAAGATACCTCACAAAGGCATGATATAATACAGAATTATAATATGTGCTCAAGGCAAGGTTTTTTGTTGACAATAGTCTATTTAAATCTGTAATTCAAACCAATACTTTCGATACATTCAATTGTGTCAGCTAACTTCTTGCCAGAACCAATGATATAATCATTATTTTTAGCCTCATCATGTGGCTGACAAAGAGCTCTACTAGAAGTGAGAGAGGTGTCAGCTCAACCGTTTTCTTATGTTCTGCTTATGTTTGCATTATTTAGTATTAACTTCAGTCCAAGCCTCTTTGCAGATAGCTTAAGCTGCTTACCCATTTTGTGAAAATTAGTTAAAATGGAACCCATCAATCCACTTAATCTGGTGTACAACATAAACATACAGTGAAAACAAATGAATCAGTCAAGTCACACCGTGCTGCTTCTGAGATGAGGCAGCCCGTTCTTCCTGAGAATTCCTCCTTTACTGTTTCAGTTTGTAAATGAGGGTACCCATGTCAGCCTGTGTATTAAATACTCATAAAGCCTAAATTCTTTCCATTTTAGATTTTTGAAAATTAATATAAATACAAGTTCGAGTATTTTCTCTCCACATCGCATTAGATCATCTGGTTTACTCCTGAGGTGCATGTACCATTTTGAAAGCCACAGCTCCACCAAATCACCAGATTTACCTTCCTGACATACAAACCTGTCACAGATTTACCTTTCTAATATACAAACCTGTCGATGCTATAAAAGCTTCAAGAAGTCCCATTATCTGCTGAATACAAGCCAAAATCCTGAATATAGATCCTTAATAATATGCCCCCAGGCCCCCATTTTACCTTCATCTCTCATGTTCTTAACCACACACTCTGTGTTCTGGTCATATTAAATTGTTACCCTTCCCTGGCCGCGCCATACCGTGTTCTTCTCTGCCATTGCTCATCCTGTTCCCTTGGTCTATGATAGTCCCACCTCCAAAGCTGTCTTCTCTCTGAAGATGTCTCTGGCTTCTTAGGAATAATCTATTGCTTCCTCCTTTGTGCTGCCACAGCATGTGTGTATCCATTTTGCCAATAAACTGAGCTTCTCCTGACAAACAACCTTGACTTACCTTGTATCCAGTCTCCTCCCCTACAGCTCAGAGCAGGCACCACCAGATGTTTCTCAAATAAAGCATGCACACTAAATGTCTGTCTCTAAACATGTACTGAATGTCCCCACCTCTGGGCCTCTTTTATACAATAATCATGTCTAGCCTCCCCTTCTCTACCTGTCAGAATTCTATCAGTTTTCCAAGGCTCTGCTGGCATGCCACCTACTTTGTGAAGCTTTCCCTTTCTCCCACTCACATGCCCATTACTCTCTCACCCTCCAAAACAAAAACTAGAAGAGTGCTCTCCTTCCTCTGAACCTTAATAGCAATTTACCAGTCACCAGTGGCCATTGAATCAGTTGCGACCTATGTATGTCAGAGTAGAACTATGCTCCATAGGGTTTTCAGTGGCTGATTTTTCGGAAGTAGACTGCATGGCCTTTCTTCTGAGGTGTCTCTGAGTGGACTCGACCCTCCAACCTTTGAGTTAGCAGCTGAGCACTTAACCATTTGCACCACCTTAGCTCCAAGAAGCAGATAGAATTAGAGATGATATATCTCACTACAAGGGAGAAAGAAAGACTGTGACATAAACTGGGTAGAGTCATTCTTAGTATTTTGTGCTGGCTTCTCATGTTAGAGGTGTGCATTCAGAGCTGTGCTTCTGGATTCTTTGGGTAAAAAATGGAGGCAGGAAAGGAACAGAACAAAAGAAGAAGAGGCCAAAACAAGGCAGGCCACCAGGAGCTGAAACAGAAAAGGAGGCCACCCCTGCCCAGTGCATCCCCACCACGGTTTCTCTAAAAATACAGGATAGTGCAAGCATGATCATGTTAGGCTGAGGTTTAACACCAGGAGACAACTTTATATAATGAACGGAGCATTATGTAGTAAAATCCCAAAAGACCAGCGTTCAAGACAGAGCTTTTAATTTACTGACTATTCTTGTGTGTTGTGGAGTTGATTCCGACTCATAGCGACCCTATGGGGCAGAGTAGAATTGCCCCACAGGGTTTCCTAGGCTGTAATCTTTACGAGAACAGATAGCCAGGTCTTTTCTTCCACAGAGTGGCTGATGGGTCCCAAACCACCGACCTTTCCGTTAGCAAGCAGTTAACCATCACACCATCAGGGCTCTAAACTCAAAACCAAACCAAACCAGTTGCGGTCAAGTCAGTTCCGACTCATAGTGATCCTGTAGGACAGAGTAGAACTGCCCCATGGGGTTAAGTAAGGCATTTAACTTCCTTCGATCCAATCACCATCCTTTGTAAAACAAGGATAACATTACCTGCCTTAGGGGTAGTCAAATGAAAGATACAGTCCTAAAAAAAACACCTAACACATATCAGTACTCATTAAGCAGCTATTATATTCTGCCAGTGTTTAATTGAGTTGTGAATTTGCATTTTTTATCTTCCTCCTAACTTAAGACTGAAATTTTGTATTAGCATCACCTAGCCTGGAAGACTGAATTTCAACCACAGCTGTCTCCTGTCCAAATTTCTTTTTGTTTGTCCTGTCAAAATGAAGTTGTTTACAAAAACGTGATGGTCTGAGCAATTTCTGGTTGTGTCGGGCTCCCCCTTGTGGCGAGTCTTAGGAATTACATGTGAATCTGGCCCCACGTCAGGCAAGTTTGAGTAAGACTGCATGTAATTCATTTCTTTATCATTCTCCCTGGGTCTGCTTTTAGATTGCTCCTTAGGATAAAGCTTAGGATAAGGCTAGTGTATAGAATTTTACACTGGAAATCAGTGGCAGATTTCCTGCACCTGAATTCTGTTGGCAGCTAGCTCTTTATTTTCACAAATGGGTACAAGTTCATGAAAAAAATGCATATTTAACATAACACATATAGTAATGTATAGTTTACAAAAGCACTTTGCCTTTTCTACTTTTCATTGGATCCTACAACAGCCCAGTAGGAAGCTAAACCAAAAAAAAAACCTGTTGCCATTAAGTCGATTCCGACTCATAGTGACCCTGTAGGACAGAGTAGAACTGCCCCATAGGGTTTTCAGGGAGTGGCTGATGGATTCGAACTGCTGACCTTTTGGTTAGCAGCCAGACTCTTAACCACTGCACCACCAGGGCTCCAGTAGTAAGCTGGCCAGATGTTATTACCACTTTTTATAAGGGATTCTTAGAGGGTTTAAGGAATCTCCCAAAACTGTACAATAACTGAATAAGCTAGAAATTAGAACCTACAGCATTTTAGATACCCATCAAAACTGTTTCTCCTCCCCCCACCCCCGTCTGTCTGTTTTTCTTAAGCAAGTCTTGTGTTACAGACACTTTGACAATATCCCTGAGCCTTACTCTGTGCTGATCCTGTTTCCCAGGGACAGACTCAAGGGTGACACAGCGGGTCAGGGATGGTTGCTGTGCAATTATTCTGCGGCATCAAAATATTCACTGGCCCAGAATGTGCAGTTTCCCTAGAAAACATTGGAATGTCTACCACTGTCGTTCCGTTTTCTCTCCTAAGGCCATTGATGCTACAACTCTGCCATTCATTCCAAAGGCCCATTTAAGAAATTTTCATTTCAACTGAGTATCTCTAATAGCAGAGTAGGAGCCCTGGTGGCACAATGGTTAAAGCACTTGACTGCTCACAGAAAGGTTGGCGGTTCGAACCCACCCGTCAGCTTCACAGGAGAAAGACCTGGAGATCTGCTCCTGTAAAGATGACAGCCAAGAAAACCCTACAAGGCAGTTCTGCTCTGTCATTTGGGGTTGTCGTGAGTCAGAAATTGACTCGATGGCACCTAACAACAACAATAGCAGAGAGACCTTTGTGTGTTGATGTGTGTGTGCTCACATGGGTGCACTGAGCTCAACCTGGAACAAATTGCAGGGTGGAGAGAAGGATGGCCAACCTGAGAGGGTCCCAGTCTTGATTTTTAATTTTAGTGTTTCAGTATTATGATCTCTCCTCTGTTGTGTTTGTGATAATGAAGCAGCTGTCTTTCTACCCATCCTGGGAGCAGCAGTCATGTATTGGCAAGGATTTTTTTTTTTTCCTCTTCTCCACTTAAGCTGTTACTGTGCCCTGGGGGTGCAGTGGTTAAGAGGTTGGCTGCTAACCAAAAGGTCGGCAGTTCAAGTCCGCAACAAGCCACTCCTTGGAAACCCTATGTGGCAGTTCTGCTCTGTCCTGTAGGGTCTCTATGAATCAGAATCAACTCGACAGCAGTGGATTTGGTTTTGGTTTTTTGGCACTATGTACTATTTTAGAGAAGGTCACAGCACGGTGTGTTGGGATGATAAGCAGAAGAAAGTGGATTGCCAAAAACTTCAATATCTTGTAAAAAGTTGGGTTGGATTCCAGACTTTAATTTCACCTCCCTGATGAATAGACCAGACCAGTTCTCCTCAGAGCTCTGCTGTCAAGCGTATGTAGCTATTAGAGATCTCTGATTTCTGGATTTGAACAGCTTGCTATCCTAGGCGCTCCCTTGGCATTTTCACAAAATTTAACTTCTTCTTCCTCCTAACTTATGATGGGGACTGCAACTGTGACTGCTAATTCAAACTGCTGTGAACAGTTTAGGCTTTAAGGAAGGCACTTGGTCAGATGATCACATCGAATGCTTGATTACATAAAAACTACACGCCAAGATCCGGGACAATAGAAGGCAATGTAACACGAGCTTGGTTGAGATGGAGTTCCCTGGGGGTGCAGATGATTAGCGTGCTCGTCTGCTAACCCAAAGGTTAGAGATTCAAGTGCACCCAGAAGTGCCTCAGAAGAAAGTCCTGGCAGTTTACTTCTGAAAAATGAGCCATTTTGAAAATCCTATAGTGCACAGTTCTACTCTGACACACATGGGGTCTCCATGAGTTAGAATCAACTTAAATGGCAATGGTTTTTTTTTTATTGTTGTTATTGTTGTTTATTTAGATACCCACATCAGAGGCAGTGGAGAAATATGATACATACTAGATTCCTTAGGTCCAATACCTGCCACCCAAGCCCTCACGTCATAGATGGGAAAGTGAAGGCTGACAGCGCAGTTAACACAATTCAGTTGTTTTCTTTAACACTAGAGGAGAGATAGAAATTGGAACTCAAAAATGTTTACTCAATTTTCACATTGTCTACTCATTTCTTTCCAGTAGTTAGCTTTTCAAAAGAAACAGTTTTCAGTGTGATCTTTGTTAAAACCACATATTATCGTCACCACCAATTTCTTACTGACTGACCTTGAGAAGTCCGTGAACAGTTTTCACTCATCAACCTCATTTATATGAATGATGTCTCTGTCTTTGGTCACACAGATCTTGCTGGGTCAGAAATACAACCATTCTGTTGACTGGTGGTCCTTTGGTGTCCTCCTCTATGAAATGCTCATTGGTCAGTCACCTTTCCATGGGCAAGATGAAGAAGAGCTCTTCCACTCCATCCGCATGGACAATCCCTTCTACCCAAGATGGCTTGAGAAGGAAGCCAAAGACCTTTTAGTGAAGGTAAGAAGTTGAGTTATGAAGGCTTTCATAAGATCAGAGTTAAGTTTTCTGATGAGTATTCCTACCCACGTCTAGATTCTGATTTATACATGGTAGAGTAAACAGTAATTATATTTAACAGGATTTAAGTGAGTCACTCACTGTCTGTGTTTTAATTGAAGTATCAATATGGTGAACATTAGCTATCAAAGTGAGTATAAATTATATAAGAAATGCCCAAGACCCAGTTCCGTGACTCTTGAATTCTGTCACTTTGAGAAGTAATTGTTACATTGAACAAACACAATTTTTAGCTTAAAATTTAGCTGTCTGTTTCCTATTTAAAAAAAAAAAAACCTTTGCCATCGAGCCCATTCCAACTCATGGCAACCTCATGTGTTACAGAGTAGAATTGTTCCATAGGGTTTTCTTGGCTGTAATCTAAACAGAAGTAAATCACCAGGCCTTACTTCCACAGTACCGCTGGGTGGGTTCGAACTGCCAACTTTTAGGTTAGTAGTGGACCACAAACCATTTGTGCCACCTAGGGACCTATGTTGTTGTTGTTAGGTGCCGTTGAGTCAGTTCTAACTCGTAGCGTTGGCTATGTACGACACCAAATGAAACACTGCCCGGTCCTGCACCATCCTCACATTGATGCTAGTTTGAGCCCGTTGTTGCAGCCACTGTGTCAGTCCATCTCGTTGAGGGTCTTCTTCTTGTTCGCTGACCCTCTACTTTACCAAGCATGATGTCCTTCTCCAGGGACTGGTCCCTCCTGATAACATGTCCAAAGTATGTGAGAAGTAGTCTCGCCATCCTTGCTTCTAAGGTGCATTCTGGCTGTACTTCTTCCAAGACAGGTTTGTTCATTCTTCTGGCAGTCCATGATATATGCAGTATTCTTCACCAACACCATATTTCAAATGCATCAATTCTTCTTTGGTCTTCCTTGTTCATTGTCCAGCTTTTGCTTGCATTTGGGGTGATTGAAAATACCACGGCTTGGGTCAGGCGCACCGTAGTCCTCAAGGGGACATCTTGGCTTTTTAACACTTTAAAGAGGTCTTTTGCAGCATATTTGCCCAGTGCAATGCATCGTTTGATTTCTTAACTACTGCTTCCATGAGCATTGATTGTGGATCCAAGGAAAATGAAATCCTTAACAACTTCAGTCTTTTCTCCGTTTAGCATGATGTTACTTATTGGTCCAGTGGTGAGGATTTTTGTTTTCTTTATCTTGAGATGTAATCCATACTGAAGTCTGTAGTCTTTGATCTTCATCAGTAAGTGCTTCAAGTCCTCTTCACTTTCAGCAAGCAAGGTTGTGTCATCTGCATATAGCAGGTTGTTAATCAGTCTTCCTCCAATCTTGATGCTGCAATTCTTCTTCATATAGTCCAGCTTCTCAGATTATTTGCTCAACATACAGATTAAATAAGTATGGTGAAAGGATACAACCCTGACACACACCTTTTCTGATTTTAAACCATGCAGTATCCCCTTGTTCTGTTTGAATGACTTCCTCTTGGTCTATGTACAGGTTCCACATGAGTACAATTAAGTGTTCTGGAATTCCCATCTTCACAATGTTATCTATAATTTGTGATCATAACAGGGATCTATAGTCCCTATAAAATATATTCAGTGGAGTTAGTCTTCCCCTGCTCCTGGTTGAAAAGTTGGATAGGATTCATGACTTTTATACTCACTCTTAAAGTAAAAGTCAAACCTGTTGTCACTTAAAATCACAAAGCCCAGTCTCAAATGACAAATTAAAGCTGTCCAGTCCAAGATATTAATCATCACATCAATCTTATATTAAAGGTAAGACTTCTGCCCCCTTTCTCTGGCCACAGCCCATGGTTGTCAGCTGGTCACCTTTGGAGAAAGGAGTGTGGTTGTATTGTGCTTGACTGTTCCCTTACTCTCTTCCTCCCCAACTCTTGAGCTGCTATTTCAGACCCTACTCAGTTACGAGTAGAGAAAGGATGGGGAGGGGTAAGGAGAAAAAACTGTTCTTTCACGGCTGGGTGGCTTCATGCTCCATGAGCCTGGCAGATGGTTAAAGCTGAGTCTTTTGTGAGGCATTTTCACAGGTTCTTTGGAGATACCCATCACTGGGGACATCTTTGCCTGAAACTCTTAAGACATCAGCTATTCAACCCATTCCCTAGCCTGGGGGGACTTCCCCTACCCAAACTCTAATCAGCAACATTCCATCCTACTGAAACTCTCACTGTTGGCCACCTGCCCAGCAGATCCTCTTAGGCAGGACTGAAAAAGGATGCAGACTGACTCTCCCTCTCCCCAAGTGACTACCTGTTGTCCAATGGAAATGCAGATGCATCCTTCACCCTAAAAATCAGAGAGCGTAGCCTGTTGCCGTCACAGCAGCTCTCTCCAGGGTTTACCAGCAACGCAGGAGTCAGACCCCACTCCATGGTATCCCAGGATCCGCTTAGAGTTGATGTAGAGTGGTACAGAATCACTAGCTATAAACCAGGAGTTCCCAGGGCAACCAGGGCAAAGAGATAAGAAGTATGTGAGAGCTATCATTAAAGATTTGGACTTTATGCAGAGTCCTGGTTGACCTTTTTTGGAAAATGCATAGTACTGCCCACAGTGTATACATGGTGTGTTGCTGTTGGGTGCCATCAAGTCAATTTTGACTCATAGCAACCCCATGTTGCAGGGTAGAACTGCCCCATAGGGTTTCTTGGCAGTAATCTTTGTGGGAGCAGATCACTAGGTCTCTGGGTGGATTCGAACTGCCAAATTTTCAGTTAGCTGCCAAATGCTTAACCGTTGTGCCACTAGAGCTCCTTATACATGTAAAAGTTTTTAAAAATGAGAATTAATCATGAAAAACAACAGGCTAATTAAATATAATAATAATAATAAAGCAGCTACATTTACTGAGCCGTCCCAACAAATATTAGATTAAGGAAACCCACCAGTGTGATCAAGAGGCTACCAAATCTCAAAGAAATGGATCAAGAATACAGGGGTTTCAGAAAAAACACAGTGTCTTGATTTCCAGGATTTCATATCTCAGCTTGCTAGAAAAATCATTTAGGGAAATAATTTTTTTTTTTTTTTTGTACTTTAGGTTTACAGAACAAATAGTTTCCCATTAAACAGTTAGTACACATATTGTTTTATGACAATGGTTAACAACCCCATGACATGTCAACACTGTCCCTTCTCAACCTTGGGTTCCCTATTACCAGCTTTTCTGTCCCGTCTTGCCTTCTAGTCCTTGTCCTTGGACTGTTGTGCCCCATTAGTCTCCTTTTGTTTTATGGGGCTGTCTAATCTTCAACCTCAGGAGTGACTTCATTACTGAGCTAAAAAGGTGTCCGGGGGCCAAACTCTTGGGGTTTCTCCAGTCTCTGTCAGGCCAGTAAGTCTGGTCTTTTTTTGTGAGTTAGACTTTTGTTCTACATTTTTCTCCAGCTCCGTCCGGGACCCTCTGTTGTGATCCCTGTCAGAGCAGTCAGTGGTTGTAGCTGGGCACCATCAAGTTGTACTGGACTTAGTCTGGTGGAGGCCGTGATAGTTGTGGTCCATTAGTCCTTTGGACTATCCTCTTGTTTTCTTCATTCTCCCTTGGTCCCGAAGGGGTGAGACCAGTGGAGTATCTTAGATGGCTGCTTATAGGCTTTTAAGACCCCAGACGCTACTCACCAAGGTAGAATGT